GGGCCCACGAGCTTGGAACCTCGAAATTCGATCCTCCTCGTCCTCCTCCTCCTCCTCCTCCTCCTCCTCCTCCTCCTCCTCCTCCTCCTCCTCCTCCTCCTCCTCCCTCCTCCCTCCTCCTCCTCCTCCTCCCTCCTCCCTCCTCCCTCCACCTCCTCCTCCCCCTCCTCTCCTCCTCCCCTCCTTCCTCCTCCTCCTCCTCCTCCTCCCTCCTCCCTCCTCCCCCTCCTCCCTCCTCCTCCTCCCTCCTCCTCCTCCTCCTCCTCCTCCTCCTCCTCCTCCTCCTCCTCCTCCAGGGCTCGAGCTAAACAGGTGTTTTTTCAGTACCCCTGGCAGGGAGCAGGGGCCAGGAAGGGGTCGTCGTCGTCTTCTCCGCCTACGGGGGGTGCGAGGCCCCTTCCCGTAAGTCGGGCCTCTCCCTCTACAGGAAGAGTATCTAAAAACAGTAAAGCAATAGTCTGGGGACGATTCTTCTACAATTTCTGACTATTGTTGAATCTGTTTTGATTATTTTTCATGTTTCACCCAAAATCTGCCTGCAGGGGGGTATGCCCGACCTAACCCGTCCCCCGCTTCGCGGGGCGCCTGGGGAGTCTTCGGGCCCGGACCGAGGGAGGTTCCGCTGCTCCCAGCTTGCTTTCGGGGGGGGGGGGGGCGGGTCCCGAGGGAGAGGCCCCCCCCGGATGGCATGGCTTGTTAGCGGCGTGTCCTGCAGGCCGTCTTGGGGTAATTACTCGGGGGGTGATTTCACCCTTCTGAGGGGCAATAGCATGGTCTTCGAGTTTTTGTTTTAGAACACCTATATATGCAGTTGTTTTCGTAAGTGTGGGGCAGCTCCTCTTGACTTGTCAATCTCCAGCTTACATGGCCCATTGTATAACGGGCCAGACAATAAGGATATCTGTCGGGTTTGAACTATGTCCGTGCAAAACTGAAAGGCAAAGTGACACTCGCGTGCGGGCTTGCCATTCCGCGCTAGCCCCCAACGCGGATGGAAGGGCTGGCCACATCTTCGTGCTGCGGTTTGTATGTGTTTGGCTGGTTCTGACGAGTACACTTGGGGGACGCAGAGCAACGGTGCCGGCTTCGCCGCCGTTCCCGCATGATCTGCCCGCGTAAGATCTCGCGTAAGAGTTTTCGATTCCAGTTTAGCGTGCCGCGCTGGCGGCCCGCGTAAGCTGCGGCGCAAGGTCGCTATGGTCGCTCACTGGACCATCGGGCCCATCCTCTTCTCTCATCTCCTGTCTTGTGGCCAGACGCCTTCATCGATACGTGGGCGCCTCTGGCGCCAGGAGTCGCCAGGAAAACCAGCTGCATGCAGCAGATGCGCTACCCCCCTTTGATATCCCCCCTTTTGCACGCCCCTCGTCATCCAGGAGGAGGAGGAGGAGGTTCAAGTTCGAGTTCGCACGCTCCGCGATCCTCCAAGAGGAGGACGAGGAGGAGGGGGAGGAGGAGGAGGAGGAGGAGGAGGAGGAGGAGGAGGAGGAGGAGGAGGTGGCGGAAAAGGGCTCGAGCTAAACGGTGTTTTGGCGACTTCGTTGATCATTATCGTTCTGATTTCGTGTCACAGCAAAGGCAGAAAGAAGACAGAACGACGGAACACAACATCAACACAACAACGGAACACACCTGTTTAGCTCGAGCCCTGGAGGAGGAGGAGGAGGGAGGAGGGAGAAGGATGGAGGAGGGAGGAGGGAGAGGGAGGAGGAGGAGGGAGGAGGAGGTAGGAGGGAGGGAGAGGAGGAGGGAGGAGCAGGAGGAGGAGGAGGAGGAGGGAAGGAGGAGTAGGAGGAGATGGACGAAGGAGGAGGAGAGGAGGAGGAGGAAGGAGGACGAGAAAGAAGGAGAAAGGAGAGGAGGAGGAGAAAGGAGGAAGAGAGGAGAGTAGGAGGCGAAGGGAGGAGGAGGAGGAGGAGGAGGAGTAGGAGGAGGAGAGGAGGAGGAGGGAGAGAGGGAGGAGGGAGGAGGAGGAGAGGAGGAGGAGGAGGAGGGAGAGGAGGAGGAGGAGGGAGGGAGGAGGAGGAGGAGGGAGGAGGAGGAGGAGGGAGGAAGGAGGAGGAGGAGGAAGGAGGAGGAGGAAGGAGGAGGAGGAGGACCGCCCCTGCAAGGGGCCAGCGCCCGCCTCCCGCCCGCCCATGTCGCCGGCCGTCTGCTGCGCCCTGCGGCCGAGCGCCTCCAGGAGCCCCTCGCTGGGCGGGCTGAGGAGCAGCGCGTAGGCCTCCCGGGACGGCGAGGACGACGAGGACGAACGAGGACGAACGAGGACGACGAGGACGAGGACGAGGACGACAAGGACGACCAGGCCGACGAGAACGACGAGGCCGACGAGGACGACGAGGACGACGAGGACGACGACGAGGACGACGAGGACGACGAGGACGACGACGACGACGACGAGGACGACGAGGACGAAGAGAACGAGGACGAGGGTGGGGACGACGACGACGAGGACGACAAGGACGAGGACGAGGACGACGAGGACGACGAGAACGACGAGGACGACGAGGACGACGAGGACGACGAGGACGACGAGGACGAGGACGACGAGGACGAAGAGAACGAGGACGAGGATGGGGACGACGACGACGACGACGACGACGACGACGACGACGAGGACGACAAGGACGAGGACGACGACAAGGCCGGCGAGGACGAAGGACGACAACGAGGACGAAGAGGACGAGGATGAGGACGACGGCAACGACGACAAGGACGAGGACGATTGGTGAAGGACTCCCAGGACGACTAGAAGGACGAGGACGACGAGGTCGAGGACAATCCATGCAATCCAGGCGTCTCCAGCCTTTCTCACACTGGGCGTATTCGTCCCGTTGCGGGACCCGGGGCCCTCTCAGGCAGGTCTCGTATACTTGCGCAGAAGACAAGGGGTCCAGGGCACGTCTCATGATTTTTCACGAAACAAATCTTGTACTCACAGGTCGGTCTCGCACCATTGCGCAGAACAGGTGGGGCCCACAGCTCTGGTCATGATGTTTCACAGTGTTGCAGTGTTCGCGGCGTCGGATCCAGGGGAGGACGACGACCAGGCGAGGACCCTGACAACCGAGCCAGAAAAAGAAGCATAACAGGAGGAGGCGGAGGAGGCGGAGGCGGAGGAGGAGGCGGAGAAGGAGGCGGAGGAGGAGCAGGAGGCGCAGACTTTGTCTCTGCATGCCATTAGCAGCAGCAGGAGGAGGTTTCTGCCGATGTTCGGCCCCTGGGGCCCCTGCCGAGCCCCCTGGGCCGTAAGGCACCGACTCGGCATGAAGCGGCGGTCCCCGGGGGGACGCATCGAGACCTCGGGAGGCCCACGCCGTGAAACAAAAGTCCTGCCGTCAAGGGCAGGGGGACGAGGACGACGAGGGCGGCGGCGAGGACGACGCTCGAGGTTCTCGGGAGTCCTCGGGCCCCGAGGGTGGGGGGGGGGCACGGTCGGGAACTTCTGCTTAGCGTGTCTCCGCGGCGGCGCCGGCGACCCGCTATGCCCTGCGAGAGGATAGCGCGCCGCTCCGCTCCGCGGGGCGGGGGGCGGGGGAAAGCTCGAGACGTCGACGCCTGAAACCAGGACGCGGATGGCGCGTCGCGCCGAAGGGCCGCCGAAGCGTGGTGGGCCAGAACCCGGCGGCGCGACACGCGGAGCCAAAGTTCCCGACCGCCGCCTCCGGCGGCCGCCCCCCCTCCGCGGGGCGCGGGGAGGCCGCAGGCGGCCGCCGCCTCTGCCGTGGCCCCAGCGCCCGCCAGAGAGGGCGCCGCGGCCACGACCACTGCGGCGGCCACGACCACCACGGCCACGCCGACGACGAGGGCGACGGCGAGAAGGTTTAAGTTTGCCCCACCCCCGTCGGCGGCGGTGGGAAGTTCAAAAGGCACGGATACCGCTGCTCCCCAGACCTCTCTCCGGGGCGCACTCTGTTCAGGATTCTGAAGCGCATGCAGCGGTGGCGACGAGGGCCTCCCCCAAGGTCCAGGACGGCGAAACCGGGGGTATCGGTACCTGTTCCTCTTCGTCGTCCTCGACCTCGTCCTCCTCGTCGTCCCCCTCCTCCCCCTCGTCGTCCTCGTCGTCCTCGACGTCGTCCTCCTCGTCGTCCCCCTCATCCCCCTCGTCGTCCTCGTCGTCCTCCTCCTCGTCCTCCTCGTCGTCCCCCTCCTCCCCCTCGTCGTCCTCGTCGTCCTCCCTCGCCGTCGCCGTCGGCGGCGGGGCGTGGAAGATGTTCGCCACGTCCAGCGCGGTCATGTCGGGGGCCACCTGCTCGGCCCTGGGCGGCTGGGCGCGCGCGGCAGCTCGGAGTCGGGGCGAAGGCCTTTGGGGTGCCAGCCGGGGGCCGTCGAGGCGTCGCGCGGCGTGCGCGGCACCGGCGCCGCTCCGCCTTTTGCGAGGAGCAGGCGCTGCTGTAGGACCCAGGCAGACACGAGGACGAAGAGACAGAGCAGCAAGAGGGGGAGGAGGAGGAGGAGGAGGAGGAGGAGGAGGAGGAGGAGGAGGAGGAGGAGGAGGAGGACACCCCCGTCTTCTCCCTGCCTCCGCCTCCTCCTGCTCCTCCTCCTCCTTCTCCTTCTCCTCGCTCCCTACTCCCTCGTCCTCCATCTTCCCTCCTCCTCCTCCCCTCCTCCTCCTCCTCCTCTCCTCCTCCTCCTCCTCCCCTTCCTCCTCCTCTACTCCTCCTTCCTCCTCCTCTTCCTCCTTCTCCTCCTATCCTCTTCTTCTCCTCCTCTTCCTCCTCCACCACCTCCTCCGCATCCTCGCTCCCACTCCCCCGTCTTCCATCTTGCCTCCTCCTCCCCCCGCTTCCTCTTCCTTCCTCCTCCTACTTCTTCGTCTTCTCCTCAGCATCATCCGCAGCAGCAGCGCTGCCACGGTTGTGCCGCGGAGGCGGAAGCCATCCTCGGCGCCATCGTACCGCTGCTGCCGGAGGAGGAATACTGAGGCGGCCTGGGGACATTCGCTAAATTCACGGCGTCGTGCCGCGCTTAACCGCAGAGTAATTCGGCGATCATCATCAGTATCATCATCAGCAGCAGCAGCATCATCATCACCAGCCTCGTTATCATTATCATCACCATCACCATCGCCATCACCATCGCCATCACCTTGTCCACCTCCCCCTCGTCCTCATGGCCTCTCCCTCCCCCTCCCTCCTCCTCCTCTCATTCTCCTCCTCCTCCTCCTCCTCCTCCTCCTCCTCCTCCTCCTCCTCCGCCCCAATCCCTTCCTGCCCCTTTCTCCTCCTACTCCTCCTCCTCCTCCCCCTCGTCCTCCTCCTCCTCCTCCTCCTCCTCCTCCTCCTCCTCTGCCCCTTTTCCGGTGCGAGAGATCATACCTGAGATCCGACGATGCGGATTGGCCAAGAAAACGACCGGAACTGTAGACCATGTCTGTCTCCGTCATGTTTCGAGCCCGATCGATCTTTGATGGCCCCAGGCCCCGCGAAGCGGATAAAAACGTCAGCTGTGACCCCCCCGCCTACATCCTCTCCTCCTCCTCCTCCTAATCCTCCTCCTCCCCAGCATCATCATCATCATCATCATCATCATCATCATCATCATCATCATCATCATCATCATCATCATCATCGTCGTCATCATCATCATAATCATCATCATTAGCATCATCATCATCAGCAGCAGCAGCAGCATCATCAGCATCATCATCCCGCCTTCCGGATGGATAACCTCCCTGTCGTACCACCGAGTCCGCAGGCCAGGACTGGCGTTCCGCCTAAGACTTCCTCGCCAAGTATGATTCTGAAGGTTGAAATTTGCACCACCTGCAAGGGTGGAGCCAAGGGAGTTTTCAAAATGTGGCTCTCGCCTTTGCGCCAGGCTGGCACGTTTTCCAAATGTGGCTCCCGCCTTAGCGCCGCGCACACTCGTCTTAAAATGTTGCAGCAACTCCAAGCGTGGAGGCCGGTTACTTTTCAAGATGTGGCTCTCGCCTTAATGCTGCGCACACGCATGCGACCCAACCCTCAGGAGATGAAAAAGCAACGATTCGGTGCACTCCTAGCCGACCCAACCCTCACCATCCTACGCAAATACGCCCACATCCATCCGACCCAAACCCACCACTTTATGAAAAACAACAACACCCGACACGCATCCATACGACCCAACCGTTACCATCCTTTGGCAAACAACTATTCGGTGCACACCCATACGACCCAACACTAACAATCCTATGCGATATACGGTTGCGTAAATATATGTTTGTGTACATACTAGAAACATTCGCGCGCGCTCCCCGCGCGCTGTTTCTAGGTAGCTTGAGGCAATGGAAAATGCAAAACAAATGGAACATGCTTGACTGCTCACTCTCTTCCTGCCCTGCTTTCCTCACTCACCTTGTCGTAACTGTCGCTCGCCATCCTGTTGTTTCTTGCCTTCCTCCGCCGTCTGTTGCTTCCTCAATCCTCGTCCACATTATGGCATCCGCGTCCCTCACCCATCCCTCGCCCTCCTACTTTCGCTTCGCCTGCCTCGCCCTGCCTCTGACCTCTCCGCTTCCCTCTCCGCCTCATCCTCGTCAAGAGGCCCCGACGAAGGCCCAAGAAGACCCCAAGAGAGAGAGAGTCCCAAGGCGGCCCGAGAGACTCCCCAGAGAGCTTCAGAAGAGCCAGACATCTTCACAACACTGCAAAGCGCAGGCGAAGCCAGACGCAATTATACAAGCGGGGAGCAGAAAATAGACAGGCGAGAGGGTGCAGGTCGAATTATCCTAGCGGAGAACCGAACCATATGCAGTTATGGGTACCGCAATTGTGAATATCTTCTTCGGTGAAGCTCCCTATGGGGCCACGAAGCGCTGCACTGGTTGGGGGGGAACGCATGCGGGCGGTAGCACTGGGACCGTCGGTGGAGCTCCCTGTGGAGCCACGAAACGCTGTACTGGGTGGGTGAGCATGGCAAATTTGGCGTGTGGGACGCATGCGGCCGGTAGCACTGGGGCCGTCGGTGGAGCTCCCTATGGGGCCCCGAAACGTTTAAGTAGCGTGCCAAATTTGGTTTCCGGGACACGCGCTGACGAGCTGAAGGCGCAAGGATCCGTCGGATGCCGCCATGTCCCCCCAGGGCTGGCCGGTCCTGGGGGGGTACTCAAACTAAGAGACAGGCGGCTCCTGAAGCGTACGCTCTCCTCCTCCACCTCCTCCTCATCATCATCAGCATCATCATCACCAATATCATCATCACCATCGCCATCGTCATCGTCATCACCATCATCGTCATCACCATCCTCATCATCATCATCATCATCATCATCATCATCATCATCATCATCACCATCGTCATCGTCATCGTCATCGTTATCATCATCATCATCACCACCACACTCTGCCTCCCATTCCTCCTCCTCCTCCTCCTCCTCCTCCTCCTGGGCCCCCATCCCCTCCTCATGCCCCCCCCCTTCCTCCGGGAGGAGCTGCGCGGCCACGGGGCGGACGGCCTGGCACCCAGCGCGTCGAGGAGGCCGTCGCCAAGGCTACCGAGGTCGGGGAACTC